TGCTATTTCTCGTGCTATCTGACCTGCCGGCAGCTGTCACCTCGCGGATTTCGACGAGCTGCCGGCAGATTGCCGGCAACTGACCTCGCAAAGTTGGCGGGCAGCTCCTCTTGCGCTTCCAGATATTTCCCTACAGGGGGATTTTTGGACCCGCAAATTTCGATGGAGGTTTCTATAAGTCGAGTTGGCATCTTCATCGAGAAAATTTTTTGGGAATAGGCCTGGGACGGCCTAAATTGGTTTTAGTTTCTGGCCACCTCACGGAAAGGTGCCAGCGACCTGCCGACGAAACCTGCCGCCAGGTCGGGGGATTACTACCGGCCCATGTGTGTCAGGCCCCGGGCAGACTTCACGCGATTTGATCGTCGCGACTGAGTCGCGCGAGACAACTGTTACAACATCATTCCATGCCGATCAACTTGCATTCGGTTGTGATACTTTTCCAGCCCAAAATTTTTGAATGTGAAATGAAAATGAATGGAAATCTTGGCGATTAGATCGCGACGATTGAGTCGCGTGAAGTCTGACCGGGGCCTCAAGTGGTCCCACGTGATAGGCTTCAATACGCTTCAATGTTAATATTGCATATTAGTACGACGGTCCCACTAAACTTATCTTTAGAAGGTATTGGCATCTCCGTCTCGTCCGGCCGACTGGGTTGATCGAATCAAATTTCAAATTGAGATCCGGTCCGGGATGTGAATGCGAATCCAAGGCCCGGTACGCGTTGTTTAGACGCATTTTTGAACTTTGCAGAGTTCTATGAGCTCCTTTGATGTCAAAATCAGTAGAAAAAGCTTAATTCAAAAATAAAAGTACAAAATAAAAAAACATGTCAGAGTGCTGCTCTGTTCGATTCCAATCCTCGAATTCAAAATGTCATGACTTTTTTCAAATTCAATTTCCATGATCTTAGTTGCTATGTGCTGAGCAGTTTTTGGCTATCAGAAAAATATTGAGACTTGCGGAAAATTTTTTTGTAAAAAAAGTAGGAACCTTTACAGCGTTCTTCTTCAGGCCTGTTTTTTTGACATGGCAATGCTCCTTTACGGATGACAGGCATAACAGTTAACCATGGATAGATAGGGAAATTTTCGTAGGTTATTTTGCAATCCAAAAGATCTCATAGGGTCTTCGGTGCCGAGAGATTTTTTTTGACCGAACAAAAAAGGAGCCACTTTTGATCTTGCTTTACATGTGTGCATGCTTATTTACGATCTAGCTTGCGATCCCAGTTTCACCCGAGATTAAAACCCCAACAAAATGTGTTACTTACGCTTGCAAACTCCTTCTGCCATGCGCGAAAAGCGCTTTGAGACGAACCGCTCATTTTGCCGACCTTGAAATCAAAATGAGCTTCACCGCCCCTGCTTGCATGTTTGTTGAGAAATGATTGGTTAGAGAAGCTTTCATTTCCCTAGATATAAGTAAACAAATCGATAAATCGATGGAAGGACTCTGCGAACCGCCTCAAAAAGTAGCCTATAACTTGCGCAGGGACCGAATACATAAGTGTGCAAAGTTTCAGCTCAATCGGTTCGACGGCGGGCGTTTCTATAAAACACATTCAAATAAACCGGAACCTCAAAGACATTGAGTTTTATTTATATATAGATTACTAGCTGGCTTACCCGGCTCCGCCGTATCCGGACCAAACTTGGCACACATACACTTCGGGCCCCGGCGGGTGTCACAGTCCACTTTTCGTTATCGATCGATGTCGATTTTACCGATTTTTATCGATTTTTTGCAGAGTTCACCTACAGGGCTAGGAGTTGGCACAGGGGGGAAGTGAGCATGGGGATTCCGAACACAATATTAGTTTTCAGAATTATCGATTACTTTTATTGATTTTATCGATTTTTTGTAAATTTTGACATGCGAGGCTGGGATTTTGCACAGGGGGTAATCGAGCATGTTGATTACGAACACAATATTAGTTTTCAGGATCGTCCATTACTTTTATCGATTTTATCGATTTTTTTGTAAAGTTTGACCTGCGGGGCTGGGAGTTTGCACAGGGGGTAATCGAGCATGCAGATTACGAATACAATATTAGTTTTCAAGATCGTCCATTACTTTTATCGATTTTATCGATTTTTTGAAAATTTGAGCTAGGGGCTGGAATTTGGCACAGAGGTGTAATCGAGCATGCTGATCACCCCCCTTGGGGATGATCAGCATGCCCGATTACCCCCCTGTGCGAACTCCCAGCCCCGTAGCTCAAACTTTGCAAAAAAATCGATAAAATCGATAAAAGTAATCGATAATCCCGAAAACCAATATTGTATTCGGAATCCCCATGCTCGATTACCCCCCTGTGCGAACTCCCAGCCCCGTAGCTCAAACTTTGCAAAAAAATCGATAAAATCGATAAAAGTAATCGATAATCCCGAAAACCAATATTGTATTCGGAATCCCCATGCTCGATTACCCCCCTGTGCGAACTCCCAGCCCCGTAGCTCAAACTTTGCAAAAAAATCGATAAAATCGATAAAAGTAATCAATAATCCCGAAAACCAATATTGTATTCGGAATCCCCATGCTCGATTACCCCCCTGTGCCAACTCCCAGCCCTGTAGGTGAACTCAGCAAAAAAATCGATAAAAATCGATAAAATCGATATCGATCGATGACGAAAAGTAGCCTATGACACCCGCCGGGGCCCGAAGTGTATGTGTGCCAAATTTGGTCCGGATCGGTTCAGAAATGGAATTTTCTATTCGGAACATACGTACAGACATACAGACATACAGACAAACAGACATTCAGCTTTATATATAAGATGAATATTTTACACCTGTCGCGAGCGGTGATAAAAATTGGTGAGGCTCTGCTAGCTCTTACTTTACTCTAGCACCTCCAACTTTGGACTCATCAACTGCTTCTCTTCGCCAAGAGTTATTGCTTGTAAAACATCTATACAAAAAATTGATGTTCGACAACAAATTTTGCTAGCAAGACGTTTTCTTCATGAAATTAAGTTTGTGCATATATACCCTGTTACACCCTCATTCCGCAACCAATGAAAAGACTGTACTTGAAGGGCACATTGTGAAGATTTTTTTCGCGAGAACATATTTCTTAGGTGAGAACGTACCTCGCCACCCGGGGATATTAGGCTTGCAATTTCGTTAAACTGAGGAATTTGATGTTGATATGTATTAGAAAGAGCAAGAAAAGCGCTTTCTGCTGATACAAACAGCTTCGCAGTAGAGGTGAAATTCTCTTAGAACTTCTTCAAACATAAGGCAAAAAATTGGAGAAAACTTATGCAGCAGCTTGGTATATTGAGGTTTTCGATACAAAAAAAGCGAGTAAACATATCTGAGGTATTTAAATGAAGCTCGTCCAAATTGAAAAGACCCAAAACTTATGTGAACTCTTCGAAATTCAAGCTCCCAACCCAGTTAATTTTTTAGTTAACCAACAAACGGGACTGCTGTTAGCGTGCCTTCATACCGCGCCGAAGCCGGCGCTAGCAGCCCGTAGCAGCCGCTGGCACCCGTAGCAGCCGCTGGCAGCCCATAGCCGCCACTGGCCGCTTTTGTCATAGAAACGCAAGATCATCTAACTCTTACTATCTTAAGCGCAACCGCCCACGCTTTCCATCTTCCACGCTTTTTCCTTCCTGTTTTCGCAGTTAGATCTCATATATCATATTTGTGTCCTTTGTTGTTATTATCTTGTTGCCGTACATTGGTTATCCTATTGGTGCTCAGTTTCCCTCTCGCAGTTGAACCATATTTCGCCAAATTTTCTTCGCGATGTGATTTCGTCGGACTTCCTATGCGTCCAGTTTCTGCTGTGTTTATTTTTTATGCATGGTTCTGCTTCAATCATATCCTTGCTCGGTGCTTATCTTGAATAACTTTGTAATGTGTGAGAGTGTAACTGCACATTAGCCGCAATAGGAAGAAAGAAGCGTGGAAGATGGAAAGCGTGCGCGGGCGCTCAAAGTAGTAAGAATTTGATGATTTTGAGCTTCCATAACAAAAGCGGCCAGCGGTGGCTACGGGTTGCTGGCGGCTGCTACGGGCTGCTACGGGCTGCCAGCGGCTGTTGCGGGCTGCTAGCGGCGGTTGCCGGCGCGGTATGAAGGCACCCTTAGGTCACGTAAATTTTTGTAACTTTTTAAGTAATGTAGTTTGGAGTGATATTGTATACACATAGTGTCATGTGATTGTGCGCTGTAAACAAACCATTTGTTTGTTTGGGTCTCGCAATTGAAATTCGCGCGCTTGTGAAAGAACTCGTTCAACGCGTGAAACATGACATGTTTGCCGATTTTTTCCGGGCCTCGTCCCAAACCTACAAAAACGATATCCCTTTTGTTTTTCCCAAAAACGAACTCCACTTGATCTCAGACCATTGTCGGCCCTGTGCGAATCCATTGTTAGATTTAACAATGCGAAAGATATCTTCCTTTCCAGTCCCACCCCTACTCCTTGTTCCAGCTACATATAGTAACTTATTCTTTTCTCGTAGATTTCTCACCGCCAACCTTTCCTAATCAACTTGATGGTGCGCTACAAACACTTCTGTAGTTGCATAAGCTCACCTGGAATACAAATCCTCCTTAGAACATCGGCATCATTTCCTTCGCGAAAATGGATTGAGCTTTACTGCTTTGCTTACATTAAGAGCCTCAATTTCATTGCAAAGTGCTAAAACGAATACATTGATGATAGGTCCCTATTTGCAGAAAAAATAGCGTAAATTCTTCGCCGGGGTAACATATGCGTGCAATTCAGCTAGCCTGGTCAAAGCACAACAGTGTATATAGCGAACTGACAGACGTATTTGAAAAATTTTTTTATTAGGTTGTAACAGAATTTTGTTTTGAACCAGGACTTTGAAAAAGAGCTGTGAAAAACCTGCATCAATTCTGTTACAACCTTTTACATATGTATATAAATTGCTAATTTCAGAACAATGCTGTTGGGACGCACGCAATGATTTCCCAGACTCTTATGACTTTTTTCATATCACTTTCTCGAATGACGCTGATAGCGTATCCAGTAAAACACACGGTAAGATGCATATATTTCGTCTGAGAAAAGGCTTGGCGTGAAATAAAGGACGTACCTTTTCTTCAGTTACACTCGTGAACTAAAAGAAATCGAAAATATGTACGAATGTATACATTCTGTCGAATTTCTAATGACACTTACCAGTGGCGTACCCAGGGTTTGCGTTCGGGGGGGGGGGGCGACAAAAATCACGCACTTTGAAAAATCTTTTGGAATGCTTCCCATAATTTCTGCGGGCTCCTGATTTGAAATTTCAAAAAAGGGGCGTGGAGGCAGCCACGCCCCCGAAAATTTCTTTTACAAGGCTAATAGTAAAAACAAATCGCTGGCACATTTTTATAACCCGTTTGAGTTACTTTCAAAAATTTCGCGACCCATTCTCGGGGGAGGGGCGCCCCCCTCCCCCGCTTCCCTCCTGCCCCTCGGTACGCCACTGACACTTACCTATCAAAGGGGCTCCATCGTTTGGTTGACTACACTGTGAAGCGACCGAAATTGCATGGTGCATGCTCGGAACCTACGGCCCTGGGCATACCTCCAGCGACAAAGTCGTCGCGTGGCACGATTCGCCTGAAATAGCGACTGAAAGCGGCGAACAAATCGCTCATCATTCGTCAACAACACCTCATCGAACGTGATGTCACAAGATCCCGCCGCTGCGCAAGCGTTTTATTACGTTCGTGTAAATTTGAACACCTCATCATCTGAAGGCGAAAATAAGAAAGAAATTTATAACAAGGCAACAAAAAAACATTGCGACCAGAAAGCAAGAATACCTTATCAACTTTGATAGCAAGCGGATTTCTGAGCAGTCATTTTCCACATAGAAAATATTATGATCTCCATAGCCTTTATGCGAGATAACATACGGATTACTTTTGCGGACGGCTTTCACAATTCCAAAGCGGAAAAGGCTATGGCGATAGGTTAAACTATCGAAAAACAGTCGAGTATAAAAGCTCACATCGCCAGAAAGGCGCAAAATTCCTCATGTTCAGAGTCGAGCAAGAAGTGTGGCCAGGGCTTGGCACGAGTTGGTTTGGAGCATTTTTGGAAACGAAGTCCCCGATGAATTCGCGAAAATTTACGAAGTCCCTTTGACGTAAGAGTCAGTAGGGAAACCCCCTATTCCGATCAACACAACAATAAAAAAGCGAAAAAACGCACTCTGAGGTATTTAATATAACAAAAAGCAAAAAACAAACATTCTGAGTCAATTAGAGGCTCCGACATTGGGTATGGTACCATTTTAGTGTTCAAAATGTTGAATCTCAGCCCAACCAGGTCTGTGTCAAAAATGTGGCGATGATTTTTCGCCTCGTAGTTCAAAAGACATCGCATGTGATTGGAGTGCGATATCTATCAATGCGTAGTTTACACTATTTTTAGCTCAAAAAAAAGAGAGGCAATGGTTTGATTTGCTCTCTTCGCTATATGATAAATTTTTTAATGTTCTGAACGTCCAAATCAAAAAGGTTTAAAACTTATGTGAACTCTCCGATGTTTATGCTCCGAACCAACCCAGTTGGGACGGTGTTGGTCTAAAAACCAACAAATTCGGAAACGGGTATTAGGATACATAATATTGTGAAACTTTTTACATTGCATAGTTTGGAGTAATATTGCACACATAGCCCAATTGGTGTCATGTGATTGTTTGTGCGCTATAAACAAGCGATTTGTTTGTTTGAGTCTTGCGTTTGAAATTTGCGTGCTTGCGAAAGAACACATTTACTCGTTAAATCTGACATGTTTGCCTCTTTTTTTGGCGCTCCGCCCAGTACCTCATAGAGATGATATCCCGGTTGCTTCTAACCTCAACAACGAAGTCCAGTTTGACCCCAAACCATCTGTGCCGGGCCCTGAGTGTGGCACACAACCGTTGGAGACGACCCCCCCCCCCCCCCCCCACCCTAAGTTCTGCCTCAAAACACCCCGCATTATCGTTTGCCTATTGTAGGCATGACATAACTACTCTCATAATTAGTAATACATCCTTAATAATCATGTCAAATAACCCCTGTGGGCCAAGTCTCAGCGAATTCTGAGGTTACCCGATGTGGCCACCATGTGAAGTGATCATTTTCAAACATGGTTAAGCTTATCAAAATTAGCTACTTTTTCTTGTATTCCGTACGAAGCACTACTTTTCGTCCGCCCATACTATGAACCCTGCATCAAATAGCCAACAAACTATGGAATTAGGAGCCAGTCAAAACCTCATTTGTCTCATTTTTAGCTTACAGTGAATGTTTTTTCAGTGTGGTACAAACGAAAGAAAACCAATTCAACTCTTGTCATTTCCACAAAAACCACGAGATTTTGGCTATCGAACTGTACTAACTTGTTCGCTAAAATTCTCTTTGAAGGTAAGTTAATGGGGTGTGGCACAATCCTAGAAAAGCTGTGGCTGCCACACCTTTGCAGGAGCTGCACCACATCCCATTGACTTAACTTCAAAGCATTCAAATATCTGTGTTCTTTATGTTGTTGCCACTAAACCTTCTTCTCCACAAGCAGGAATTTCGTTTGTAATTGTCTCTCTTAGGAAAAGATATAGTCTTTTTTCCTTAACTATGCAAATGAAAAAATACTGCGAAAATAAGTAAGAAAAAAAAATAAAATAAAATAAGGCTAAGTGTGCGCTGCTACGTTCGCGAGGAAAGGAGGCATGAATATACTCGATAGCCTAAACCTCGTAACTTTCACAAAAAGTGATTTGAGCCTGATTGGTCTTTATTCTGAGATATCGAAAGCGAAAAATAGGACAAACGAGATTGTCTTGCTTTCAATTATAGTTTGTAGGCTATTTATAGTGGGATCCTAATGTGAGGAAAAAATAGTAGTACTTTGTATTGAGTGCAAAAAAAGTAGTTGACCTTTGAAACAAAGTTAAACAAAGTTAACATGTTCGAGAATGACCACCTTACTTGGGTTCCAATATTTGGAAACCTCAGAATTTGCTGAAATTTGTCTTACAGGGGTCATTTTTCATGCTGATCACGAAAATGATTCTCTTATGCTTTTGGGGCTCTTTTATTATGCTTACTGTACGAATGCGATGTTAGGCTAAAACATCAATGTGCAGAATATTGCGAAATGCCTATCTGATATTATTAACGGATATCATGCTATCGCTGACATCAGTACCACTCCGATAACCCCCTTCCCCTACCCCTCCTATCCCTGATCCCTCAATACCCCTCCAGGGACATGCTACAACCCACGTTTGACCCTGATCATGTTCTTTATGTGTCACTTCTTGGAAAAATATGATAAGACTGTTTTGTCAGTAGGTATTCAGGAAGGATACTGGCTTTGGTGTGTAAAAAAAGGTCGTCAAATTTGTCACGAACAAAATACTTGATGTGAATAGAAGATTCTGTTCAATGGCGCGACGGTTGCCCCGTTGCTCATCTCAAAAGGCCAAGGCGGACATCGCTCGAATTCGTTCACATTATCGTGACGACCTTGCGGAGAATGACGTCGAAAAGCAAGCAGCGTATTCTCGCGCCGAACAACAAACGCGAATGCGTCAAGACCCACTCGCTTGAAGCAGCATTTGGGCAAATCTGGACATAGAGGAATCGGATATGGAAGCAATTTTGGGGCATTAACTAAGATACTGCCCAATCTTCAGCTCAGATGGTGTACGCACGGCTTAGATTTTCGCCCCCAAAAGTGGACCTCAGTATAAATGGACGACTTGCCTCATGTTCGCATGGTTTTATATCACGATTCATCAGTTTGGCGGGGGTCCGCGTGAGCATGCAAGCACGGTGAGTTCGTCCTTTAGAGGCAGTGGATCGGCAAAACCTTAACAGCTTGGGATTTTGACGCGTTAGGTTGCTTATCACCCAACTATGAAAAAGTGCGATCCCGGTTGCACAGCATGCCTTCCCTGCCGAGAAAATTGCTCTCAAACTTACACGCGCAAGCCAATCTTACACGCGCTCGGACGAGTTAGCATCCCCCTCTCACCATTGGAGGCTGCCCGCCGCTATACTATAACCATTGGGTCCGCAACGATTCAGCGTCAGCCTTGCCCCACTCGTCCAATTTCAAAGCGAAGAGCATTGGAAAACGCTCGTTTTCGCAATTTTCAAGCTCTCTAAAGTGGATTTTCGGAATTAGCGAATTGGGATTCTCGTGGGCCCATATTTGCCCGGACGCTGCCCTTAAGGCCCAAGGCATACTTCCGCGATTTCATCCGTCAAATCGCCACCTCCGCGGGACTCGACGATTCACCAGATGCCTACAGATTGATCTTGCGAGGTATTAGATGCATAGGCGCGTGGTCTTTGTAAGTTTTCGCAAATGCCAAATTCGAACAATATTCAATGCTCTTCAACATCGCAACGCTTTCCAGACCGCATCACTCACAAAAACCATAAAAGTTGAGCGTGATAAAAGCTAAAAAACGCAAAGGAAAGTGCACTCTATAAACTCTTGCTGAATGCAGACGACACTTAGCGCATCTGTCCTCAACGGCGACGTTTCATGTTTCAAAGCAACCATTATCGAAGGATCTGCACCTTGAAACCTATAACTGAATCAGCTTATAATAGAAAAAATCAAGAAAAAGATACAAAAAGGACAGAAACATAGGTTGATCAATGAGTGTTCGCGCCCACGCGCGCCAGGGAGACAACGGCTTCATTGCGCTTCAGCTGCAAGGCGGCAACCAGCGCGGTCTGCTCTTTAAGGCGTCGATCACTTGCACGATTTTGCGAATCGCGTCGCGACGAAATCGCGTGAGCTATGCTCAGGGGCTATGGCATCATGTAAGGCGGTTTTCGGCACACTGCTGAGGCAAACTAATATCTTTGCTTATTGCTCACCAGTAATTACTGGTCCAGGCCAACCGGCTCTGGCTACAGTCGTGCCGTTAGATCTCATGTCTACGCAAAATGAAAATGAATATCTTTCTTTCTTCTACTAATGATTTAAAAGCTAGTTTCCCTTTCAACTCTGAAGATCACATGCTATCCCTCGCCACACTGTAGGCTAGAATCTGTATTCAGGCTTGGAAAACAGCACTGCTAATCAGTATTGGTATAATTTTTGGGACCCCATTCTTTATCACTTACAACCTGCTTATAAAGGAAAGCCACTTTGTGGAGGATGACACCGTACATTGCCTTTTCTTGAAATATGAAGCTGTAAGACGATTTTTCAAGCTATCGATGCAATATTCAAGATAATTGCAGGATTTACATCCCCTCCAGACAGCAACATTAGTCTTCATGTGCTCGGCAATAGCACTATCATCCGCCGCCAACATCGGCTCCGTGCTTCTTCTTTTCTTACGCGCTGGAGGACATCATCGCAATAGAGCAGAACTAAGCATGTTCATTTTGGCACTTTTGGACTTTTTCATTGAAGCGCTTTTTGTTAGTCTATATGTGAGTTACAATGACCACGTAAAAACGTGACACTTGAAGTATTTATGCATGTTAAATCTTTTTACAAATAATGCCTATAATATTTCAGCTTATAGTTTACAACAATGCTGCCAGCATTGCACTTGTGATCAAGCTGATTCCGCCCGCTTCTGACCTTCTTATATTTTCGAATGCTTACCTGCTGATCATACTGAACAAGCGAATCCGGCAGTATGTCCTCCTTCTGTTTAAATGTCAAGGATAGTTAATTGACGCTCAAAATATAGTGAATTGGTTCTGATGTCATGTAGAGAACTATACGTTATCCGTTAAAGCATAGTCATAAATGCTGAAAGTCTTTTTTGTATACCTTCGAGTGCTGAATATAAAGGTAAACACGACGGGCTTTTCCAGTTGGCATTTCTCAGAGGCAGAGAGTTCACTACTTCAAACAAATGTTTTTGAATGAAACTTCTAGAAAGGCCACTAATCACTAGAGGGCTAAGTGCTTGAATCTGTTGCTTTTTGAAGAGAAAGACACTTTCGTTTTCCGAAAGTTTTGCGAAATCATTGTGGAGAAAAGTTTTACCCACAAAAGAAAACAATTTCTTTCAGGTTATGTTTCCAGACTAAAAAGGGATTTACATAAAAGATGTGCAGCCTACCTCAGTTCTTTCTCATTCTGAAATTATAATTCAACAGTGCTTTTACCGCTCGTGTTTTTTGAAAAAACGACGCATGGTTGCCCTTCATGTGACATCACCGTAGCGCGGCCATATCTGGCTATCTGGACAAATTTTTAATCCAAGGGCACCATTCGACACAGCTCGGCGTGGCGCATCTTTTGATATATAGTAGTGCCTGTTTGAACACAGCAGAAGGCCAAATTCCACGGATCGTTTTAGATTTTTGCTTGCTGTACTTTACTCGGTGTGCTCATTCATTGCGCTCACTGGGCAGCATACCGTAAGTAAAAAATCTCAAACGATCCGTGGAATTTGGCCTTCTGCTGTGTTCAAACAGGCACTACTATATATCAAAAGATGCGCCGCGCGGAGCTGAGTCGAATGGTTCTCTTGGATTAAGAATTCGTCTACTTTGAAGCGAGATATGGCCACGCTACGGTGATGCCACATGAATCGGGCGACTGTTCTATAGAAACATACGAGTGATATTTATACATTTTACTTTTCCAGACTTTTGACGTTTTTGCAGCGAGATGAAACTTTTAATTTGAGGTCTGTTGTGAAAAATCTAGGGAAGGCCTTCAAACAATGGCCCGTAGTAAACCCCACACACTTCAGATGATCTCAACTGAGCGGCTGAGTTGAGGTATTTGAGATAAACTGACCAACGGTCACTCCCACATGCTTAAGAATGCCACCTGATCTGACGGGTGAGAGTCAGGGCAGGTGCAGCTATGAATTCACCTGAAATCCGTAAGAGCAGCTTCGATTTTGAGATGAATTGACCCAAATAGTGTGCAAAGGATGAGACGCCGAGAAAAATCCCGTAAGTTGCTCGTGAGTAACTTACGGGACATCTTACATGACGTATTGTTGCGGTAAAAGAACGCGCAAAACTGCACAATACCGGTGCCCAAAAAGGAAAGGATCAACAGCTGATTTCGGCAAGAAAACAAGAGAATAGGTTTTCTCCTTTTTGCAGAGTTTGCTTAGGTTATTTCTACATTGTGGATTCCTTGATAGCGGCCGTCATCGATTTTCGTCGATGGCGGCCGCTATCAAAGATTGCTCAGTGATGCACAAAAATTTGCCACAGGCCGACGCCGAATCACGGTCGTCCGGGCTGAGTACCAATCACATACCCGTTTGACCAAACCTACACAAGCGATGTAGGTGTTTCCTCTTTCACAACGCGCAAGACTTTTATACCTGAAAAGCGATCCGCATCTAGATCAATGGCTCGCCGGATGCTGGACTAAGGCGCCTCACGATCAACTCAGGTCCACTTCAGGGCAGATCCCCTGAAGGGGGGGGGGGGTTTACTACGAGCCAATATGTCACGTATTCGAGGACATTACAGTATAGCAGCAAAGCTTCAAGAGATGTCAAAAAAGCCCCTCCGACCAGAGTGGAGACATGGATAATGCAGAGCCAGATTATTGGCAGTCTACTTTCCGCGAATGCCACAAACGTTCCTGCCTGATCCCTACTGAAACGATAGGTAATAGAATAGATCAAGTTGCCCTATACTTCCGACCACCCCAATATAAATCGGGCCACCAAACCATGTTTACTTCCGACTCCCTCGACGACATCCTTCCCCTTTGCAGAAACATTTTCTGTGTTATTATGTTAGAGCTAAATTGATGTTCATCCATTTAGAAGAAAAGAACGTTTAATTTCTGTTACGTTTTGCTTCAAATCATTCCCTGATATCCCCGATATGTGTATCATTGGTGACTGCTTTTCGTCAGTTGCGCCATGGAAATGGGGCGTAATGTAGGGTTTAGTGGAGCTTGAGCAACTCAGACATGACAAAAAAACAGCTTGTAATGTATTATTAGGTTGTCCGGAAATTAATGCCCGTTTTGAATTTCAACCGCAATAAGTCATAAATTTCTCTTTCTAGAAAGGCTGCAAAGTACCATTGGATAGAGCAAATCAAGCTCTACAAGAAGGCTTTCTTGCTTTTGCAACAGCTCTCATCCAACTCGAGTTTTGAGGTAAAAAGTAAAAAGACTCTTCATAAAAATCCTACAAAAATTCTTACTTGCTCATGTAACCAATATTCCACACAAGACATCTATTGACGCCTTTCCTGTATTTCTCCCGCTGTTAGAAACCAAGACGGAAATATTCGTGCATTTGCCAAAGTGATGCTGTGCCGTCCCCACATAGATGGTTGTATACCACAAGCCTGTAGAAGTACAGACTTAAATTTTCAGCTCTCTACAAGCTTTAGTTCTCGAACAAGTTGAATTTTAGCTTGGACCACCTAACTAGGGAAAGCTGTACTCGGTATTTCTCGAAAACTAAAGCTTGTAAAGAACTGAAAACGGAGTAAAAATGTAACATATACAAGTTATTTTTTATTTTCTATTAAGTCTGCACTTCTACAGGCTTGTGGTATACAACTACCTATGTGAGGACGACACAGCATCAGTTTGGCAAATGCACGAAAATTTTCGTTTTCTTGATTTCTGACAGAAGAAAAAATACGGCAAAGGCGTATATAGATGTTTTATGTGGATAGTGTTTACGTGAGCAAGTAAGAATTTTTTGTAGGATTTCTATGAACTGAGTTACGATTTTTTTCAATTTTTCGGGCAGCTAAATCATTTTAGTTTTTGGCTTGAAACTCGAGGTGGATGAGAGCTGTTGCAAAAGCAAGAAGACCTTCTTGTAGGGCTTGATTTGCTCTATCCAATGGTACTTTGCAACCTATTTAGAAATGAGAAATGTATGACTTATGGCGGTTGAAACTCAAAACGGGCATTAATTTCCGGACAACCTAATAAATAAGCAAAGAAATTAAAAGCTTCTATACATGGTTTGTGTAATTCGTGAAAAATCGAGCTGTGAGGAAACCTCTGAGTAAAGGCACCATTGATTTGCCGTTGAGGCAGCTTCCAGGCAGACGTTCGAGCCTCGCGGACCACGCCAACTTCCTCGCACGGCCAACCTGTTCAAACGAAATCTCCTTAGCCCTTGACGTGTTTTTACATTGAACACAATCGAACACATAGCGTTTATCTGTTAATGGCTGGGCGTACATCACGCGATTTCATCGCCTCGCGCTCCCGGCAAGACAACTATTACCAGTCCATTGGCTGATCATTTTGCCATTCGGTTGTGATAGTTATTCGGCGCGACTAATCGCTGACCATCTCAGACATTCGCCGTTCTCGCGCAGAACAAAACGAGGTGTAGTCACGGAATGCCTGCGCGACTCCCGAAATCGGTGTCGGGACAAAATCAGGACACCTGATTTTGTTTCGGATCGAAAGTGCGCGAAAAAATCAGTTGTCTCGACCGACAAATTCCGGACAAAATTGGAACACCTGCGGGAGACACCAATGCCCCGAACGCGTTCAGAGCCAGCGGCTTACACTCTTAACGGATTTTTGCGTCCTCTATGTCTTATCTCACGCCTCCCTCTTCACTCACCTTGTGCCTTTGGTCTCTTTGGGTCTCATTTCTTATCTCTGTTTTCTTTCTGCTCGTAAAACCCAGTTAAATGTCATAACATTTATTAGTAAATACCACATAATCTTCTCCAGCAAGCCTTACAATGAAATCGAAATGAAATGCACAGAAAACAGCAAATAAAATTCAGGAGCTCTACAACTGTGACACAAGGTTACGAGACCTAACTGCAAAAACTAAAATGTAGAAAATATCATCAAGCTTCCTCAATCTCTTCAACTTCATCTTCAACGCATTCAGTCTTCTCAATCACTAGTTCCTTAGTGATAATGCTGCCTTCGATGCCTTCGATGACTACACGCTTTTTCTGAAAGTTAAAATTTAATAACAGTGACCATATAAAACAATGGATCACCTTTGACGGAAGAAGCGCGGCTCTCTCAGGATCAAAATGGTAAGTGCAGATGTCTGTGCTGCAAAAGTACAGTTTAAAAGTGTCGCTCTTCTAACAGCGCGAGAAAACTCGCAGTGCTCTCCCTATTGCTATTCTTGCATTACCGCTCCAAACCACTCTCGCTTGCGAGAGTTCGTTGAAAAATTTCTCGCGAGCGTCGTCCTCTTCTGCTAAGACAATCCACCACCTAGGTTCAGTGCACATGGAGGTCTTCCGAAAACATACTTGTTTGGATTTAGTTTATGGTTATCTGGGGTCCGCAGAAGTTCGTCGCGGTAAGCTGATCTAGATTAACGAAGAAATGAATTTATGAATCTCATCGCTGGAGATCATGAATCATGAAATATATCACACTATTATTACTATCATATTTTGTTTGCACACAGCGCACAGATGCTTCATTTACTAAAGCAATTGAGACAGTTTGACAGATGTTGATTTGCATGTCACACATGACCCTTACGTGTGCTTGAGGCAACTATTAAACTGGGTCTAATCCCTGCCGTATTGCATAATGGGCCAGCGACACCCCACTATTTTCCTTGATAAATATCTGACTTTAGCTGTTCATCGTGCTCTATTTATATTCCATATTAATTCCAGAGGTCTTGTAGAGTCCCTCTCGTTCAGATTGATTTGTTCGGGTGTAGGGCGTTAGGCGACAAACCCGATTTTTTGGACCCCAAATAACTCCCCGTGCAAAACGTCTTCTCCGCCAAAAACAAGGGGGTGGGGGTCGGGGCCTATACATTACTCCCATCAAAAAAATTGCACATAGTTTTGACTTACGGGCTTTACGTTAATTGCGTTTTGCACGTTTTGTCGCCTAACGCTTGCCCTCGATTTGTTCACCTATGCATTTCTCTTTTTAATAGTCTCGCAAAATTGTCATGGTTTACTTATCGCAACAAATGCTCTGGAAATCCTTTGAAAACACAAAAAATGAGGTAAATAGGGGCAAATCCGAGCGAAATCAGCTGATAGCAGCATGGAGCAGCTGAGAAAAACTCACAAAAAGTGAGCTTCATATCGCTTAGCAGCGAGGACCAGCAACGAGCAGCTGGGAGCAGCAGGGAGCAGCTAGAAGCAGCGCAGCATCGATAGCTATAGCGGGTCTGTTTCGCGTTGGCTGCAGCAGCTAGGAGCAGCAGCGTCGCTTGGCTGCAATCGATACCCTTAAAAAGCGTTGCTGCTAGCAGCGACACATCGTCAGCTATAGCTACCCATCGTCATATGTATGAAGCCTAAAGGCCCAAAAAGGCTACACGAACATGGCAGCTTGAGAAGGAAACCTCAATTTAATTCCAATGAACTGCTGAAAATTGCAATGTTATAAAGAGTTTTCCAATTCAAAAAAGCCAGCATAGGTGAGCATGAATTTAACACTGACGGTGATATGAGCACCGCACACCCCACTTGCAAAAAAAAACCGGCACTTACCTAGGGTGCAATAATGATAAGCCTTGCTTATGTGTAACAGAAGAAATGAGAGCGAAAAAGTGAGAGCTTCCTTGGAAGTTGAGTTGAAAATGGAATTAACGCTGCGCTTCGGGACAAAATTGCACCAAAATCGGGACAAAACTAAAATGATGACTCCCGCCGGTGCACCGGATTTTGATGCGACTATCCATTTTGTGTGCGGATCTCCTGCGGGAGTCAATGGCGAGTGTTTGAGATTTTTCCCCGGGCATACTTCCTTCACTGAAATGTTCGCGATTTGCCCGAATCTCAGCGATATCGCGTCGCTGTCTTCAAACGAGCGACGCAACCTAATCGCTGAGATTAGACTTCTTTTCTGAAAGGTTTTTTGATCGTTTCTTATTTTTTTGTTTTTTGTTTACTATCTCAAAAATAGTTCTATTTTGTCAGAGTGCATTACTTCCCCGTGAATCGATCCTCTTGTATCCATTTTTGGTGCTATCCGTGGCCCAAAATTTTAAAGGCGTGGATTTCGCTCAGACTCGGTCTAGGGGTTATTCGACCCGCTGGAGCCGAACATCATGGTTATTTTGTGCGGTACGCGACATTTTCTGGGGCTACCGTAGGTATACGGTAGAGGGTCGAAATCGCCTCGCTCTAAATTTGTTGTGGGGGAGGGATGTTCTTTGGCGCGCCGAACATGATTATCATGAAGATTACTTAGGAAAGCGCCATTTTTTTGCAATCTGTGTCAACCACAACAACAATTAGCAGTTTGGGGTCAATTTAGAGCCTGGTAAAGACTTCATCATGTGAAATGAACACAATATTCGTGATCAGAACATAAAACAACTTCACTGCGCAAAGATTCAGGCAAATCTATGACTTTGACACCTACCATATACTCACTCCGCGTGTATGTCCCAAAACGCGATGTGAGCATGATTTTTGTGATCAGCATGTTGAATGACTTCTCTAGACGAAATAGCCAAATCTATGGTTTTGTCTCCTTACGTGTTCCTACCGTGACCCCTAAAAAATGTCGTTTTACCAAGCACAATGATTATGATATTTGGTATCAGTGGGTCGGATGACCCCTTTGAACCGAGTTCAAGCAAAATCAATTTTGAAACAGTGAGGCCCAGATACTGGATTAGAGTCAGATTTCAATGTGATTATGCGGTTGAATTGATTCTGGACTACAAGATGAAAATACAAATGGAAAAAACCGGCCGAATGTAATACAAATACTCAAAAGTAGTTTGTGAAGGTATACCATGTGTTCAAGTGGGAGGTTGCATGAATCGCCGCAGAAGTATGTCCATAAACAAGCAACTATGATTTAGTCGCTGCGATTTTGTCGCTACTTGCAGCAAATCGCGACGACCAGAAGTCGCGACGATGAAATCGCGTGGTGTATGCCCGGGCCTTTAATGCTTGCTAGGGTGTAAGGGTAGCATCAGAAACTCGTCCGGGTCCTCACAAAATAGCCCAAAAAGGTGGTTTTTTGAGGAATTCAAGCTTTTTGAGTGCCATATTTGGAATCAGCGCCATGAAAAGGCCTGGATGATGTAAAAATATGGAAATCGAGAATCTGCCCGGACGCTGCCTTCAAGCTTTGTATCATAGAATTTGACCAAAATGCTTCGTACAACTGCATAAACCTAGACAGTAAACAATTTCAGCACAATAATTATCTGCTTAGAAGTCTCCACATATGTAGTCTACAGGGTGCTCCAAAATTACCTGCGCCAAATCTGCAGCACTGCCACGGATAAACCACTGAGAAATGTAGGCTCAGATTTGTGCCATAGAATGTCCTAATCAAACTCTATTAGATGCATTTTACAGAATTCAGAAGGACGAAGACCTCCTTTCAAGAATGTGAGGATTGAAAGAATCAGACTAGCCGTTTTGAGAAAAAGCTAAGATGGGATTTCTAGAACTTCATGTTTTGCTCTGCAACTAATAAACTTGAAGTCTTCCATTCTGAACCATTCCGAACTGAGGTTGTAGAGCACGCTTTGCACTGTTACACAGTCTTACAAGGGAATGGTCAGAAGTCGAAGTGGCCAATCCATACAAGCTGCATACCATTCGATGCAGCATAAAATGCTGATTTCAAATCTGTCTTCCATATCTGCAGAGCGCCGTTCTAAGCGAAGTTATGACCAGCTTTAGTGCGAAAAAATCGTACACAAAAATTGCGTGATGAGGCGCATTATTGCACTTTTCGCTCACCTTTAGGTACTGGCCACATGAATTGACCTAGATGCATGTTTTGATCTAGCACTGAGCCAGGTATGGCTTTGTACGGCCGAGTTTGCCCTTTACACACACAATTTCTTAGCAAAATAGTGGCCTTCAACGGCTTATAATTTCGTCCACAAAAGCGCTCTGCAGATAAGGAAGACAGATTTAGAGTCATCGTTTTATGCTGCATCTAATGGTATGCAGCTTGTATGGATTGACCACTTCGATTTCTGAACATTCCCTTGTTAGCTGCATTTACTGGGACTCGTTCTTTCGCGAAATACGAAAAGGTTTTTGCGAAAAATACCTGCGTACGAACAACGATTGTATGTTCGAAATTGATTGTAATTTCTTTATTTATGAGAGCTGTAGAAAAGCTTTTTTTATTAGCGTTTCGTGAAAATAGCTTTGAAGCTGATTTAGAAGACATTTTCTGATTCTCAAGCGCACTCAGCAGGGCAAAAATAACACTGATTTTCGATATGCTGTCTCCAAGCATGTTTTTGAAAAATCGAAAATCCATCTTTAAATCGGATTTTAGATTTCCAAACTCAAACAATATTAAAGGCGAAGGCTTGTTCTACTTTAAAGCCTCTCAAAACAAGAGGAAAGGTTCTAACGAATATCGTGTAACCTCTCAAACAGTCGTGCCTGCGTACAGAACACACTCCGACTGTCAAGAGGATTTGAGATTTTTTCGAAAGATTAAGCAGCCAAATTCTGATTTGACTGTAACATCACGATGCTAACGGTTGGTGGAAACATATGCATGCTTGAGCCGTAAACAAGCCCGCCTTGTATGCTTCTAGCACCCAAGCAAACACGCGCAGGTAATTTTGGCGCACCCTGTAGTCAACTCACTAATCAAGCGCTCACCTAATCCATGGAAGGTTAGTTGTTACTTTTCTTGAAAAGTGTCGTTTTGCATCATCCATCTAGGAAACACCGCAACTTTCATAATAAGATCAATCTATTGTATTCCATCAATGATACTCTACATCTTCGTGCTGATAGCTCTGATTATGGAAAAAAGATCAGCGTCGTATCATGCAAGATACTTCTATTCTTTGCTTATCATGCAAGCAATTCTGGCAAGCCAATGTTCTTGCTCATTCTGCGTAATTAAAGCATTTCAGAACATTATTGCGTTTATGGATCTTTTCTATGTGAACCTGGCGAGCAATATTAGTACCAAAAGTTGGCTGCGTTTTCTCTACATGAACATTCCAAAGTTGGTTAGCACTGTTGTGAGTTGTTGTTATTAAGTCTTAAAAACGCTTCTGGAAGCAGGACGAGAGGTGATTGCAGCATGGTTTCCTTTCATTGGCAATCCACATTATCACTTCGCAGAAGAGCATATGAATTTATTTTTTGTGGTAGAGTTGGACGAAATCTTTTGTTGATTAAAATTTAAAATGATTATTTGGTGGGAATTTAGAAATCTCTTAAATGCGCTGGATTGGAATAATGAATTTCTGGAGTGCGTTGAAACGTTTGAAAGATCTTTTTCGATAATGTGAAGTGACTAACGCCTCACTGGGATGGGAATCAAGACGCGTAAAGCTGAAAATAATGTCGTGACTTGAGAGATGCTTTTTCTGACGGATGCCATGCTGAGGCTTACAAACAATTATTTCAAAATGCTACACAATTTCAGACCCACGCCTGCACATTTCACGCAGTATTCATGCAAACTTATATGACTTTCTCCATATCACTGTTCCGAATGACACTCATAACACATCCGACAATGCATATAATGGTACGTATCCCCGCAATCGGAAATGTGCTTTGAGTTAGAGGTTCAAGTTAGTCCACTTGAATAAATCAAATAACTATATAACCTACACTTGAGTGATAAATTCTCGGGAATATATTAGAACAGTTTTAGATATGGAAGTTCGCTCTTCCGGCTAGCGTTGTTGTGAGCCTACTGACCCCGCTAATTTCAACTCATAAGCTCTTCACTGCAGATTGTTATTTCAAAGAAAACGCAGTCATCGGCAATTTTTCTCTTGTGGTTGATAATGTGGCTTCTTGAGTTCTTCCAGTGACCCTCACATCATTACTTTTTCAGAATCTGTTGGCTGTTATCATGAAAGAGCTGCTGAGTTTCATGTGCTTGTTTACGCTATTCTCGCTTGGCATTAATATCGCTTCTGTAATAGTTCTGTGCATTCGTACAAGAAATATCAGGGATATCGAAGCGGAAAAGAATATGCTTATTCTAGCGCTTCTAGATTTTGCTGTGGAAGCAATCGTTTTTGGTTTGCTTGTGAGTAAATGCAGTCCAAAAAAAATAAAATATGTTGTCTCTGCGGTTTTGCGAATGCAAAAGCTTTCGTTCATCTTTTGTGATATTACTTCAGCTCTCGTGTTTTTATTATCTGCTCAATCAATCACTCGAATGAATACATTTGCATCATTTGCTCAGGCATCTGCAGCTTCAAAAATGATTCATCTACTAACTACCGTTCAGCAAGATTCTCTCCAAACTGATAATTTCCGTCTCGCTGATGCAAAAGACATTGCACATAGCATTTGCATCAACAAAACATATTTACTGCTTGCGGCAAAGTGTTGCCTTTGAGAAGATTCTAGATTGAGTCAAAAGTTATAGCAACAACACATCTCTTTTTGGACATCCACAAATCAGACAGATTATTACAGGAAAGTGCTTCAAAATCCAACGCGATTTTTTTCTTTTTTAGCAGCTATGTTTTCCAGCTGAATTCTTTCAATGGAATAACTGCGGAAGTATTATAATAATCGAAGATTTTTCCTTTCAACCCTTCAGTTGCTCTTAGCTGTGTCCGGGAACTTCAAGTATTTTTCGCGGAGGCAAATGTAATTCAGTGCGAAATCTACGTTCGATAATAAAACTTTTGGTGTCTTCAATTTCTAAGCATTTCGCGGGTTTTGACATTTTTGTTTTGCGCAACTTCCTTGAAAATTGAGGGCTTTGAGAAAAATTATCTTGACAAGACCCCGGAAAGCCAGTTGAAGACGATCTGAGGAAGATTCACTGTGAAAAGGGGTTGTTTATTTTCAGTGAATTTATTTTTCGTCAAGCAACTGAAACCCCCAAATTTATAAGTTCTATCTAATTACATGAGGCAAAAAAGGTTTCAAAATTTTGGGGGTTTTCTGAGCGATTAGAAGAAATCAGTTCGTTCACAAAACTGCTAAGAGAAAAAAGCTGCATTGACATTATCAATGCTCTACTATCATCATTCTAAACAATTTTTGAAAAAGTTGACTTGCAAAGCTCTCATAAATTTTAAGTAGCCCTAATAAATGTTTTTCACTTGTACCGTGGAAGTAATATACAATAGTATTTAGTTGTTTGACGAGATGATTTCAGGTTGTCATATACTACAATCCCGGAGCTTTCGTGCTAATATCTAAATTGGTTCCACATTCTATGGATATCCTTATCTTTTCAAATGCTTATTTGATTATGATATTGAACAAACGGATTCGTCAGCGAGTACTTGCTCTTATGAGATGTTCAGGTGACTAACATATCATCATGTGGTTGATTTACAATGGCTTTCAGCTGCTTGATACTTTTAGGAAAGTCAGATAGAAGAATTGCTACTAGGCCGAGCATCCGAAGTCACAAACACGGTCGTGTCCTTGTCGGTCGTTTCTGATCACTACAATTATGCAGTGTCAAATTTTATGCGGGAGAACACCTCTCGAGTTGGAAGGAATTCTCGGATGTCTTTTGGCACGGCCTTTCTTTGCTCTGCCTATTGAATAAACATGTAAAGTACACATGAGAGCAAAGCAAAATTGAGCTCAAGCAAAGATGACCTATGCATTTGGAAAACGGTGACTGTACGAAATTCGTAGCTGACTTCAAAGACAGAATGTGAAGCATGCCAATCAGGAATTCACAGCCATGACCGGGTCAGGTTGTGAAGGTCCGAATTGGGGTCATATGAAGGATGGGACAGGAACCTTCCTATAAGTGGCGTAATTATCCACGTTCTAAGGAAACGTGGCGTTAGCCACACACCTCGAAAGAAATTTTGGGATGCTTCCCAAAATTTTTGCTTTACAGAGTGAAGAAATCACTTGCACATTTTTATAACCCATGTAAGGAAAATTCAAAACCCCTTGCCCCCTCGCCTCGGACAGCCACTGCTACAAGTACATCTATTCGTATACCACACATTCCTGCATTATTTCTCCTTCGGATAATCGCCTAGTCCCTTCTGGCGTCAATTATTAGGTCGTTCCGAAAGTAATGTCTTAGTAAAGTCTTTTTTCAAATGTATGCCACATCTCGTGGAACAAAGATGTGTAGGAGATTCTGGTAGCATTTGATGCAGCATTTCATTCTCTTTCTAATGGTTATGAAGTTGTTGCAATACGGTCAATGAGCTTCCAGAAAAATGTCAAAATCTGCGACCTACGCTATTTGAGATGGCCAAGTTTCACAATTTTTCTAAAATTTTATAACGAACCTCAAAAGAAGTCCAAGTGATGGATGGATAGAGCAAACCCTACAGGAAACAGCACAACTTTTTTCTACTTTCCAGAGCTCGTTATAATTTTTGTACAGATTTTTTGATGGCCACCGAATTTTAGCAGGCTCGTCTCAGACAAAAGTGCATCAAACGCCAGCAAGTCTCCGGATTTTGAAAGTTAGAAAGATGGATTATGGTTTGGCAACAATTTTACAAACCAAACGAGCATTCACCGCTTCGGTTTAGCACTTTCGAAAATCGGGTACACCTTGGGGTGCCTTGGAAAAGTTGAATTATGATGATTTTATCTCGGAAAACTTGATGAATAGGAAACAAGAAACAACTAGTAGAAAGAGGAGAAAAAGCTGCGTCAAATGACACCCGAGTTGCTTGCCGTTTGTTGTTCTGTGTGGTTTAAAGGCAGCGTCCGGGCAAAAAGTCGATTTTGAGACTTTGTGCTTACCCGGGCCTATTCGCTACGCTGAATCCGAAAATCACCACTAAAGAGCGCGAAAACGGCGAAAAAGGGCTCTAACGCAGGAGGAAAATCGGCAGAGGGCGGGGCTGTCGCCAGGGTGGATTCACGCTCCCAGCTTCCGGAGCGATCTTCTTGGTTCCTTTAGTGGCCCTAACATCGCTACCGGCCAAGTGCAAACGCGTGACTTGAGATCGGAACCGAGAAGATCGCTCCAGAAGCTGGGAGCGTGAACCCACCTTGGCGACAGCCCCGCCCCCTGCCGATTTTCCTCCCGCGTTAGAGCCCTTTTTCGCCGTTTTCGCGCTCTCCAGTGGTGATTTTCGGATTCAGCGTAGCGAATAGGCCCGGGTAAGCACGAAATCTCAAAATCGACTTTTTGCCCGGACGCTGCCTTTAAGTTGACCAAATATGCAATTCGATAGCATTGAAAAATTGATTCCAGAAACTCTAAGAAGCAGGCTAAGGAGAAGGAAAAATTATCCTGTGTCCTATAGGGTTTGCTTTATCTAACTGTCACTTGCACATCTTCGGAGAATAGGTACAAAAATTTAGAAAAATAGCCGAACTTGACAATGGCAAAAAGCATGAGGCGCAGATTTTGGTAATTTTTCGAGAGCTCATTAAACATTATGCAGCGAAATTAGAACCATCAGAAAGAGGATGAAGGCTGCATCGAATGCTTTTAAAATCTCTTGAAAACGTTGATTTCACGAATAGTGGCGTTCATTCGAAAAAAACGACATTACTTTCGGAACGACCTAATAAAAGGGTCGCGAAACGACATTTTTCATTTTTCCAGAAAAGATTGCGAGAAGCTCCCAGTAGAGTGAGCAAACTGCCTAGGCAAACAGTTTTAGTTGCGGTCTTTACGATGTAGTAGATAAAAAAGGTCAAACGGTATTTATAATTCCTCATTTGCGAAGCACTAGTTATGAGCACACATTGGTTTTTAGAAATAACAGCTGTGAAAACAGATTACATCCTTTTATTCCAGCCATTCGGACCACTTAGACTTGAAAATTCCTTGTAGTCACCGAGTTTTCAGATGTCATATGTAGGATTAGGTTCAGAACAAAATTGCTAGTGGAAAATTTTCTTGCAATTGATTATTATAAGACGCTATTTTAGCTACTTTTCTTCTCCTTCTTTTACTGAAAAAAGTTGCTTGCAAATTTCTTCATTCTTCACGAATTTTTCTAGACGGTTCAATGAAATTGAGAGAACAACATAAAGCACCGTTGACTCAAAATGGGTTCGATGAGATTTTGATGCCTAACAGTAGCTGAGAACTGTATAACTGCCTAACCCGCGCCCATTCAGTGGTTTCCGCTACCACGCGGGGATGAAAATTCGACTACTTCATCCGGGAACACCCAAGGCACACTTGTCTCGTCTGTGTCTCTGCCCTGCGGCTGACCGGCAGGCGCAAGGAACTCGTCTGATGGATTTTGAGGGGCCCCGAAACTCAGTAATTTGGGATTTTCGTTCAACTTTCATTGGTCCTGAGCTCGGACTCGGCGTGCGCAAGAGGTGCGAAAAAGGATAAAAACTCGAAATGAAAAAGTTGGGCAGAGGTGCCTTTATAAATACACGACTAGCCAGCCCCGCCACACTTACCAATCATAGCTTTTATGGTTACGAAGAAGTGTACTTTCTTTGACGGTATGCTTATTCAGGGCTCAGCACGAGGTGGCTTTTCCATTCTTTCGAAAACGAAGTCCCCCTTTGACTTCGCCCAAACATACGACATCCCCTATGACCGTTTATGAATAAAACGAACAAAATTAGCAAAGAAGAATACGAGAGCCCAAAAGAGTACGAAACAAACGGTAAAAAATCAGTAATGATGTTCGTATTCGAATTGGCGGCATACATTGTCCAGCGCGCACCATCGCGCGCCTGGAGCAGGATTGCCGCGCCATGCAAAATCTTTTGAGGGCTGTAACTAAGCGGGGAGAAATGCGTTTGGAAAGCTTCAAGAACTCGTTTGTAGTGTTTTGGATGTAGATTAAGATTATGTAAAAAGCTTGAAAAAAGTATGTGAAGGGAGTGAAATTTATGACTTTTTCTTTTTACAGCCACCTCAGGTGGCTGTCTAGGTGGCTGTAAAGCCACCTAACTCCAAAAAAAGTTTGCCGCCACTTTAGTTCACATAACTTTTTCATAATTTTTTGCACATAGTACTATCCCCCCATTGCCCATCTGCACATCCATTTTGGTGTCATTTCATTTCCACTTCGCCGTAAACAAGCTCTTTGATTGTTTGGGAGACCATGATGCCGGCATGCCGACAGCGTGCCGGCGGCAGATCGAAAGACGGCGGTATGTTCTTCTGCAAAAACGATAACCCCTTTGCTTTTGACCTCCTAAACGATATCCAGCTTGCCCGGTAAGCCACCTGTGCCGAGCCCTGTGCTTATTTTGTTGTCGCTTTCACATTCACAGCACATTCACTTTTTGAGCATCATTTACAAGCGTTTTTGCGCTGACCTTACCAAAGGCGGTTGTCTGGAGAGGAAATCATGCAGGAATTTGCGAGATAGGAGAAAGGTAATGATTGCCTTTCAAGAGCGTCTGGAGAAGAAGCGGCGTGTACGTCCTGTATGTATCCTGTACGTTCTCTGCAGCTTTAGATCTTGTAAGATATTGTTCTGCAGACATCTTAGCGAGAAGACTGCTTCTATAGAAGTTGCCACTGTAACCGTGCAAGCTAGTTCAAAAACGGAACAGTGCTCCATATTGAGTGGACTTGACTTGGAAAGAACTCAGTTTTGTTCCGGAAGGTCACTTCAACATCGATGGCTAAGTGAAATTTAGAAAGACTTCCGTGTTTCGACAATGGTGACTAGAATAAGCCATCCGCGAGAAGGTATCCATTTGCCCGCTGGTCTGCTTTTGCCTTCATAAGTATCCGCATTCAAAAGAGACTTCTGAAAATTATTTATTAGGTTGTCCGGAAATTAATGTCCGTTTTGAATTTCAACCGCAATAAGTCATACATTTTTCATTCCTGAACAGCCTACAAGGTACCATTCGATAGAGCAAAGCAAGCTCTACAAGATGGTAATCTTGCTTCAGCAACGGCTTTGATCCACTTCAAGTTTCGAGCCAAAAACTAAAATGATTCAACTGCCCGAAAAATCGAGAAAAATCATAACTCAGTTCATAAGAGTCTTACAAAAATTCTAACTTGTCCACGTAAACACTATCCACATAAGACATCTATGTACGCCGTTGCCGTAATTTTTCCTCTGTCAGAAATCAAGAAAACGAAAATTTTCATGCTCTTGCCAAAGTGATGCTGCGTCGTTCCCACATAAGTAGATGTGTACTACAAATCTGTAGAAGTACAAACGTAAATTTCCAGCTCTCTACAGGCTTTAGTTCTCGAGAAATATCGAATATAGCTTTCATTAGTCAGGTGGTCCAAGCTAAAATTCAAATTTCTCGAGAACTAAAGCCTGTAGAGAGCTGGAAAATTTACGTTTGTACTTCTACAGATTTGTAGTACACATTTACTTATGTGGGGACGACACAGCATCACTTTGGCAAAAACATCAAAATTTTTGTTTTTTCGATTTCGAACTGAGGAAAAAATATGGCAACGGCGTACATATATGTCTTATATGGATAGTGTTTACGTGAGCAAGTTAGAATTTTTGTAGAATTTTCACGAACTGAGTTATGATTTTTCTCGATT